TGGGAAAATAATAATGTAAAAATAAAATTACCTTATATCAGAAAATTCATTATTACTTTACATTTTCATCTAGATCTTTTTTTTTTTAAAGACAATTGGGATTGTAACTGAAAATATGGTGTTAAATATTGCATTTATCACTTAATTGATTTTGATCAATTTTCCGTAAGATTATTTAATGAGACTTTTTTTTTTTTGAGATGCCCTGTTACCCAGGCTGGAGTGCACTGGTGCGATATCAGCTCACTTTAACCTCCGCCTCCTGGGTTCAAGTGATTCTCCTGCCTCAGCCTCCCAAGTAGCTGGGATTACAGGTGCACGCCACCACACCCAGCTAAATGAGACTTTTAATGCTTTGTTGTCATTTGGATATATTCTGGTGTATGTGATGTACTGGTATTTATTTGACTGTCTATGTGTGAACACTTAGGCTATTTCTTCTTCTTCTTTTTTTTTTTTGAGACTGAGTCTTACTCTGTCACCCAGGCTGGAGTGCGGTGGCATGATCTCAGCTCAGTGCAACCTCCACCTCCCAGGTTAAAGTGATTCTTCTGCCTCAGCCTCCTGAGTAGCTGGGTCTATAGGGGCAAGCCACCTTGCGCCTGGCTAATTTTTGTGTTTTTAGTAGAAATGGGGTTTCCCCATATTGGCCAGACTGGTCTTGAACTCCTGACCTAGTGATCTGCGTGCATTGGCCTCCTGAATTGCTGGGATTACAGGCGTGAGCCACTGCGCCTGGCCTCACTTAGGCTATTTCTAATATTTTGCCCTGAATTATATCTGTATGCATAAAATGTTGTTTACTTCTTTGCTTATTTTGTAAAAGTAGATCCTTAGAACTGGAACTAAATCAAAGTCTCAGTTCCAGAGACTGAGGTAGGAGGATTGCTTGAGGTCAGGTGTAAGACTCTTGTCTCTACAATTTTTTTTTTTGAGACAGAGTCCTGCTCTGTCACCCTGGCTGGAGTGTGGTAGCATGATCTCAGCTCACTGCAGCCTCCACCTCTTGGGTTCAAGTGATTCTGGTGCTTCAGCCTCCAGAGTAGCTTGGACCACCAGCGTGTGCCACCACTCCCAACTAATTTTTGTATTTGGGTTTCTCCGTGTTGGCCAGGCTGTTCTCAAACTCTTGACCTCAGGTGATCCACATGCCTTGGTCTTCCAAAGTGTTGGGATTTACAGGCATGAGCCACCATGTCTGACCTCTACAAAAAAAAATTTTTTTTTTTTTTTTTTTTTTTTTTTTTTTAGATACAGTTTTGCTTGTCGCCCAGGCTAAGTGCAGTGGTGCAATCTCGGCTCATTGCAGCCTCCACCTCCTGGGTTCAAGCAATTCTTCTGCCTCAGCCTCCCAAGTAGCTGGGGAGCTGGGATTATAGGCATGTGCCACCACACCCAGCTAATTTTGTATTATTAGTAAAGATGGGATTTCACCATGTTGGCCAGGCTGGTCTTGAACTCCTTATCTCAGGTGATCCACCCACCTCAGCCTCCCAGAGTGCTGGGATTACAGGTGTGAGCCACCATGCCCGACCAAAATTTATTTTAAAAAAAGTTAGCCAGGTGTGGTGGCATATGCTCTGTATTCCTAGCTACTTGGGAGGCTGAGGCAAGAGGATTGCCTGAGCCAACAAGCCCAGGAGTTTAGGCTGCAGTGAGCTATGTTCACATCACTGCACAACAGCCTAGATAACAGAGTGAGACTGTCTCTCGAAAAAATTTAAAAGCATGTGATAAAGTGTGGAAACTTTGGTGTCTAGTGTGCCAAGGGTAGTGTGGGTGAAGGGATGGAGCTGGGTGTGGCTCATAGTTGGGTAAAGCAGAGGTAGGGCTTCTGAGAAATTGAAAGACTACCGGACAAGTGTTGTGGCAAAATTGATTGTACTCCTACACATTAGGAGCAGGAAGATGTGTTGCCCACTAACTTGGGGGCTTCTGAACATTCTAGTTCACTTACTCTCAGCCGTTGCAGTAGGAATGTGAAGGCAGTATTAATGTTATTTTGGATAATTTTTATTCTCAACAATTATGCAGTCTAAATGAGATTAATTTTTCTTTCCCTTCAAATATTGTATTTTCCTGTAACTTTAGTATTTTAAAAAGGGGGTAGCCGGGCGTGGTGGCTCAAGCCTGTAATCCCAGCACTTTGGGAGGCCGAGGCGGGTAGATCACGAGGTCAAGAGATCAAGAACATCCTGGTCAGGCCGGGCGCGGTGGCTCAAGCCTGTAATCCCAGCACTTTGGGAGGCCGAGGCGAGTGGATCACGAGGTTGAGAGATCGAGACCATCCTGGTCAACATGGTGAAACCCCGTCTCTACTAAAAATACAAAAAACTAGCTGGGCGTGGTGGTGCGTGCCTGTAATCCCAGCTACTCAGGAGGCTGAGGCAGGAGAATTGCCTGAGCCCAGGAGGCGGAGGTTGCGGTGAGCCGAGATCGCGCCATTGCACTCCAGCCTGGGTAACAAGAGCGAAACTCCGTCTCAAAAAAAAAGAAAGAGAGAAAAAGAAGAAAAAGAAAAAAAAGGGGGTGAGGGTTACGTTGAAGGTGGAACACCAAATACAGTCTAAGCTCCAAGATTCTGCCTTCAGATAAAAAAGTTACTGATGGGGCACCTGTAATTCCAGCTACTCGGAAGGCTGAGGCAGGAGAACTGTTTGGGAGGCACTCCAGCCTGGGCAATAAGAGCAAGACACTGTCTCAAAAAAAAAAAAAAAAAGTTATTGATTTCAGCCGGTCACGGTGGCTCACGCCTGCAATCTCAGCACTTTGAGAGGCTGAGGCAGGCAGATCACGAGGTCAGGAGTTTGAGACCAGCCTGGCCAATATGGTGAAACCCCGTCTCCACTACAAATACAAAAATTAGCCGGGTGGGGTGGGGTGGCAGGCACCTGTAAGCCTAGCTACTCAGAAGGCTGAGGAAGAATTGCTTAACCCAGAAGGTGGAGGTTGCAGTGAGCTGAGATCAAGCCATTGCACTCCAGCCTGGGTGACAGAGCAAGACTCCAACTCAAAAAAAAAGTTACCTGATAGGACTAGATTTTCATCTTTTAGGTGTATTGAGGCAGGGAAAATGTTTGAGAACTGGTAGATTAGAGAAGTAGAAGCTGCCATAGGTTTAAGAGTTGCACAAACACAGCTTTTCACAGGCCTCTATATTACCACTGGTTTCTCAAAATGTTTTTGGTTTTTGTTTTTTAACCCTTATGGCAGCGGACAAACATAAATTTCAGAGATTCCTGACTGCTGACATGGCCCTGGTGGTTACAGTATATGCACCAATCACTTTTCCTCCTGCATCTGTGCTGCTTTTCAAGCAGAAAAGCAATGGTAAGTTGAGCCACAAGGTGAACAGACCTGCAGGTCCTTAATAGGATTAACACTCTTTTCTCTTCTGTATCGAGATTTGGGAACCAAATGGTATGGAGAAGGTAATGATGGTTTTCAGAATACAGTAAGTCTTCACTTAACACTATTAATAGAACAATGAAAACTGCAACTTTTTTTTGAGATGGAGTTTCGCTCTTGTCACCCAGGCTGGAGTGCAATGGCACGGTCTCCGCTCACTGCATCCTTTACCTCCTGGGTTCAGTTGATTCTTCTGCCTCAGTCTCCTGAGTAGCTGGGATTACAGGCACATGCCACCACACCCGGCTAGTTTTTTTAATTTTTTATATTTTTAGTAGAGACGGGGGGTTTCACCCTGTTGGCCAGGCTGCCAGGCTGGTCTTGAACTCCTGACCTCAGGTGATCTACCTGCCTCCCAAAGTGCTGGAATTACAGGTGGGTGCCACTGTAGCCAGACCAAAACTGCAACTTTTTTTTTTTTTTTTAAACTGCAACTTTTAAGTGAAACAATGTATAGCCAGTCTTCAAATAACTGCCTTTTGGTCAACATCTTTTCATTGTAACAATTGATGAGAAAAAAAATGGTTTTGTTACACATGATTTCTCTTAACATGCAAGTTTTCAAGAACCCATTGACAAGATGGAAGTGCGGACTTAACAGTTTACCAATCTTAGTGTCACAGTGGGCTAGGGCAGGGATGACAAACCAGGTTTTATCTTGCTTACAAACCTTAGCTGATTGGTAGAGGCTGCTCAGAATGTATTTAGAATAGGTTCTAGGGACAGGCTTAGTAGGAATGAAATGGAGTGGTTTTTGCTCTGATCCTACAAAGGGCAGCCTCATCAACACTGGTTTACGGTTTCATACTGCATGGGTCTTTAAGTGGATTGGGACAATAGATGAAGACTTTGGCCTGTACTTTCCTAACTAGCTTCTTTGCTTTTTGTCTGTTAGGAATGCACAGCCTCATTGCTACAGGCCATCTTATGTCAGTGGATCCAGACAGAATGGTCATCAAGAGAGTTGTTCTGAGTGGTCATCCTTTCAAAATTTTTACTAAGATGGCAGTAGTACGTTACATGTTCTTCAATAGAGGTAGGTATGGAGGAGGAGGAGGGGATCTGACTGCCTTTGTGGTATGAAGGTTGGGTTTACATTTCGTGGGTCAATGTTTCATCTTGGTCTTTTGTGTGTTTGATTCTAAGAGGATGTGCTGTGGTTTAAACCAGTGGAACTGAGAACAAAGTGGGGCCGCAGAGGACATATCAAGGAGCCTTTAGGTAAGGAAATGTGGGATTCAGGACCATGTCTACATTTCTGCAGTGTACTAATTGACTATTGGGTTGGAAGTCATTGCTTTAAAATTTTCTACTTTTAATTTGACCAACTTGTTCTGTTTTCTTTCTAGGTACCCATGGCCACATGAAATGCAGCTTTGATGGGAAGCTAAAATCTCAAGACACAGTACTGATGAACCTCTATAAACGAGTTTTCCCCAAATGGACTTATGATCCATATGTACCAGAACCAGTACCCTGGGTGAAAAGTGAGATTTCTTCAACAGTGCCTCAAGGAGGAATGGAGTAACGGATTCAAAGAGATTTTGTCTTACTGGTGCCCATCAGCACTCCAGGGATGGGAGGCACAAGTAGTGATGGGCAAAGTTTATTTTCTGCGTTGGCCTGTCAGTGCACTACCCCATTTTGCAAGACTTTTTTTGGCCTTGACAAAATGTCTCAGTTAACTAAGTATGGAAGTTTTTCTACTACTTAGTCCAAAAAAACTATATTAAATCTTATTGAAATACCCATTCTCCATTAAGAATCTGATAACTAAGAGGGTAAGATGAAAAGTTGACAATGACTAGAGAACAAAATGTCCTCAGTTTCTAAAAACACTGATTCCCACCATTTCCTTTTTTGTAAATTAAACAGAAACTGATTGATAAGAAGCTGGCCTTTCAGCCTGCTTCACCCAAGTTACAGAGGTTAAGTCTACATTTCCACCACTGAGCACAATACAAATGTTCTTTACTTCTGGGGAAACGGTTTGAAAATGTTGAGACAGCACAGCAGCCACTCCAACACCAGCTGTAGGTTCAATGAGTAGTTTCATCCTCTCCCACACCAGTTGAGTTGCATGCTGTTGATGCGGAAGGGAGTAGGAATTAGTCAAAAGGGAGTCTAGTTGGTTTACTTAAAAAAGTCAGATGAGAATATATATATATATATAATCTCCAGTTTGAATTTTCTTATCACTATATATACATGCTTGCCAAAACTTTGCTTTCATTCTAACTTTGCTTCTGTCAAGAGGGTTGTCATTCATACATCTAGGGTCCTTTCCCCTGTCAAGAAGTTACCTAGTCAAGTTGCCACGGGTCAGCTGCTATTCATAACAAAAGGTGGCTCTGCCTAAGAAGTTACACCATGCTTTGTTATTTCTTTTCCTGTTGGAGCCGTACCTTAATTTCATCCTCTGTGACAGTGAAGACATCATCCACAAGGTCCCTGATAATAGGCCAGGTGTTCCAGCCAATGCTGGATTTGACACCATCTGCTATGGTTTCTGGAGGATAAAGATTGGGCATCAGTTCCCCTTTCAGTTTGGACTGGTAGCAGTCATCTGCATTCAGGGGTTCAGCAGCATAAACCTTCACACTAGGTTTCAGAGCCTGGGAATAAGAATATTAAGGACATCTTACAACAAACCACAACATTGCCTGCATGTCTAAAAGAAAATAGAGGCCAGGTGCGGTGGCTCATACCTGTAATCCCAGCACTTTGGAAGCCTGAGGCAGGTGGATCACCTGAGGTCAGGAGTTTGAGATCAGCCTGGCCAACATGGTGAAATGCAGTCTCAACCAAAAATAAAAGAATTATCTGGGTGTGGTGGTGGGCGCCTATAATCCCAGCTACTTGGAAAGCTGAGGTAGGCGATTGCTTGAACTTGGGAGGCAGAGGTCGCAGTGAGCTGAGATCATGCCACTGCACTCCAACTTGGGCAACAGAGCAAGACTATCTCAAAAAAAAAAAAAAAAAAAAAAGGCAGAATAAGTAATATACTTGTGCCCACATAAGAGCCTTCCCTTTGACAGATGTAATGAAAATATCTTCAAGCACTTTATAAATAAATTATTTGTCTGATACTAGCCTTCTGTTGCCTGGATCACATCTGATTCTCCTGATAACTTGAGAAAAGGGTACCCCTCTGATATGGATAGTAGTTTGATGATGTAGAATTCAGGGAAAAGACTAGGATAGTATCACTCATGGTAACTATTTTTGTGCTGTAAAACTGTCGTCGATTAAGAAGAGAGTTGGCTGGGTGCGGTGGCTCACACCTGTATCCTAGCACTTTGGGAGGATTACTTGCGCCCAGGAGTTGAAGACCAACCTTGTCAACATAGCAAGACTCCATCTCTTAAAAAATAAAAATATTAAAAATAATAGAGTAGGGCCGGGTGCGGTGGCTCAAGCCTGTAATCCCAGCACTTTGGGAGGCTGAGGCGGGTGGATCACGAAGTCAAGAGATCGAGACCATCCTGGTCAATATGGTGAAACCCCGTCTCTACTAAAAATACAAAAAAGTAGCTGGACATGGTGGCACATGCCTGTAATCCGAGCTACTCAGGAGGCTGAGGCAGGAGAATTGCCTGAACCCAGGAGGCGGAGGTTGCGGTGAGCCGAGATCGCGCCATTGCACTCCAGCCTGGGTAACAAGAGCGAAACTCCGTCTCAGAAAAAATAAATAAATAAATAAATAATAGAGTAGGGAGGCAGAGAAGGGCCTTCATCTTAAGTGCTAAAGGAATAAGGAGAAGGAATGGTAATGTGTGCAGAATGTTGAACACATGTATACAAAACATTCATGATGTAAAATAAATCCTCTGCTTGAAGCAGGGACTCCTCCAGAAGCTGCTCACCTTAATTGTAATTGCTATTCCAGCAACCATTCCTCCTCCACCTACAGGTACCACCAGTGCATCCACCAAAGGAACCTTTAGTGAAAAGAATATAAACTGTCAATAGGCCTATTAGGAAGCAGTTTTATATTTAATGTGTACACATAAAATAACAATATAACCCAATAGCTTTACCAGTAGCTAAGCAGGAAGAACTTGGCTATTTTACCTGGTTCAGCACTTCTAGGGCAATTGTTCCTTGTCCAGCTATCACTGCAGGCTCCTGATTTGGATGTACCATGATGCCTTCTGTTTGCTCTGTAACTCTTTGTGCAACGTTTTCCCTGGACTGAAAGTACATGAATTTAGCTTACTTGATTTGCATTTAATAGAGTCCCCAACAAGTTCCATTTGGTCATTCAAAATTTTATTGACCATCCTACTTTTTTCAGATTTTGTTCAGGCACTAGAGATATGTTAAAATATTCCTGCCCTCAAGGGAGTTGTATTCTTATATGGTGGAGATAGGTGAAGTAAATATTATGGTATATCTAAGTGCTATGGAATAAAATGAAGGAATTCATTTCATACAGGGTAGCCAGGAAGAGCCTCTAGTAAAGTGACATTTTTTTTTTTTTTTTTTTTTTTTTTTGAGACGGAGTTTCGCTCTCGTTACCCAGGCTGGAGTGCAATGGCGCGATATCGGCTCACCGCAACCTCCTGCCTCCTGGGTTCAAGCAATTCTCCAGCCTCAGCCTCCTGAGTAGCTGGGATTACAGGCACGTGCCACCATGCCCAGCTAATTTTTGTATTTTTAGTAGAGACGGGGTTTCACCATGTTGACCAGGTTGGTCTCGATCTCTCGACCTTGTGATCCACCCGCCTCGGCCTCCCAAAGTGCTGGGATTACAGGCTTGAGCCACTGCGCCCGGCCTAAAGTGACATTTTAAAAGATCTGAACAAGTGCTGTGGATATCTAGAATATTTCAGGGAGTGGGTAACAGTGCAAAGATTACAAAGTAGGAGTGCTTGGCATTTCTGAGGAAAAGCTAAAAGGCTAGTATGGCTGGCACAGAGTGGACAAGAGAAATAATAGAAGATGAGGTCAAGACTGGGCGTGGTGGCTCATGCCTATAATCCCAGCACTCTGGGAGGCCAAGGTGGGTGGCTCACTTTGGGTCAGGAGTTCAAGACCAGCCTGGCTAACACAACGAAATCCCGTCTCTACTAAAAATAAAGAAATTGCCAGGCGCGGTGGCTCAAGCCTGTAATCCCAGCACTTTGGGAGGCCGAGGCAGGTGGATCACGAGGTCGAGAGATCGAGACCATCCTGGTCAACATGGTGAAACCCCGTCTCTACTAAAAATACAAAAAATTAGCTGGGCATGGTGGCACGTGCCTGTAATCCCAGCTACTCAGGAGGCTGAGGCAGGAGAATTGCCTGAACCCAGGAGGCGGAGGTTGCGGTGAGCCGAGATCGCGCCATTGCACTCCAGCCTGAGTAACAGAGCGAAAACTCCGTCTCAAAAAATAAAATAAAATAAAATAAAATAAAATAAATAAATAAAAAAATAAATTAGCTGGGCATGGTGGCATGTGCCTGTAATTCCAGCTATACTGGTGGCTGAGGCATGAGAATCTCTTGAACCCAAGAGATGGAGGCTGCAGTGAACTGAGATCCAACTACTGTACTCCAGCCTGGGCCGGACAGAGCAAGACCCTGTCTCAAATAAATAAAAGAAGATGAGGTCAAAAAGTTAGGATTGTTTGAGTTCATCCAGGGCTTAGATGATTGCAAGAACTCTGGTTTCCACTGGGTATGAGATGGGAAACCATTACAGAATTTTGACTTGAAAAAAGACAAGTTCTGACTTTGTTTAATGGAGAGCTCTGGTTGCTCAGAAAACCCTGTAGTGGGGCAAGGGTGGATGCAGAGAGACCAGTTAGGCTACTGAATCTAGATGAGAATTGATGCTGGTTTGAATAGGGGTGGCAATGGTAAACACAGAAGTAGTTGGGTTATGGAAATATGTTGAAAGCAGGATTGAGATTTGTGGGGTGTGAGAGGGTTATCAAAGATGACTCCTGGCTGTGTGCAGTGGGTCATGCCTGTGATCCCAGCATTTTGCGAGGCCAAGGTGGGAGGATTGCTTGAGCCCAGGAGTTTGAGACCAGCCTGGGCAACAATGAGACACTATCTACAAAAAATAAAGGAAGCAGTTTGGTGAGGTGGCATGCACATATAGTCCTAGCTACTCAAGAGGCCGAGACAGGAAGATCCCACAACATAGGAAAACCTTATCTCTAACAAAAAAAGAAAAAGAAAAAAAAATTCAGAAAAATAAAAACCAACAAAAGTTGTCATTTACTAAGATGAGGAAGATTGGAAGAGAAGGAATATATGGAAGTAAGATCAGGAGTTTGATTTTAGATGTAATTGGAGATGAAGTGGGGTCAGGGACAGTCACTCACTGCCTGTAATCCCAGCACTTTGGGAGGCCAAGGCGGGCGGATCATGAGGTCAACAGATTGAGACCATCCTGGCCAACAAGGCGAAACCCTGTCTCTACTAAAAACACAAAAATTAGCCGGGCGTGGTGGCGCGCACCTGTAGTCCCAGCTACTCAGGAGGCTGAGGCAGGAGAATCGCTTGAACCTGGGAGGTGGAGGTTGCAGTGAGGTGAGATGGCTGCCACTGCACTCCAGCCTGGTGACAGCGAGACTCCATCTCAAAAAAAAAAAAAAAAGACATCAAGTGGGAAAGTTAGTTAGCTGTTGGATATAAAAGTCTGGTGTTCAGGGGAGAGAGGTTGGAGTTGGAGTTGACAGACCACAGGTAATCACTTAAGCAGTAAGACTGATGAGATCATCTGAGTGTAGGTGGAGAAAAGGTTGAGCATACTAACAGAAGTGAAGAGGAAACAACACAGGAGACTGAGAAGGAGCAGCCGGTAAGGCAGAAAGAGCAGCTGGTCAAATGAAAACTAGTGAGGTGGTACCAAACACTGCTCTCCTTACCTCATCACTAGGTTCACAGTATACAAGTGATGCTCCATAGGCTTGTATCGCCAGCTTTTTACAATCTGGAGCTGTCTGGGGCACCACAATATAAGCAGGAATCCCTGGGAGGGGAAAACATGTTTGGTTACTACAAGAGAATTTAGAATAGAAATTTCAGTTTGGCCAGGTGTGCTGGCTCAGACTATAATCCTGGGACTTTGGGAGGTCAAGGTGGGTGGATTACCTGAACCCAGGAGTTCCAGACCAGCCTGGGCAACATGGTGAATTTATTATTTTGTATTTGTAAAACAGAAAAATTAGACAGGCGTGGTGGTGTGCACCTGTAGTCCCAGCTACTCAGGAGGCTGAGGCAGGAGAATTGATTGAACTTGGAAGGTGGAGGTTGTAGTGAGCTAAGATCACGCCACTGCACTCCAGCCTGGGCAACAGAGCAAGACTCTGTCTTCAAAAAAAAAAAAAAAAAAAGAAACTTACGTTCATAACAGCTTGCAGTCAGATAGAGATTTTCTTTGGAAAGTTACTTCCCACAGCTATGATCACTCTCTCTGAAATTAAGGGTACTTTTCCACTTCTTTCTCATGATCTACCCAGTACCTTGAGAGATCAAGTACCTTCCAATTTGGCAGCGTAGGTGAGAGCCTGGCCATGGTTTCCACTGCTGTGAGTAACAACAGCTTTGGGCTTCCCTTCTAAAGCATCAGGAACCAAGCTTCTGATGGCATTAAGAGCACCACGAATCTGAAAAAGAGGGATGGTGAATTCACATGTTTGATTAAAACATATTTTTGAGGCCGGGTGCGGTGGCTCAAGCCTGTAATCCCAGCACTTTGGGAGGCCTGAGGCGGGTGGATCACGAGGTCAAGAGATCGAGACCATCCTGGTCAATATGGTGAAACCCTGTCTCTACTAAAAATACAAAAAAGTAGCTGGGCATGGTGGCACATGCCTGTAATCCCAGCTACTCAGGAGGCTGAGGCTGGAGAATTGCCCGAACCCAGGAGGCGGAGGTTGCGGTGAGCCGAGATCGCGCCATCGCACTCCAGCCTGGGTAACAAGAGCGAAACTCCGTCTCAAAAAAAAAAAAAAAAAAAAAAAAAAAAATTTTGAAAAGCAAGGAGCTTTTCTAGATTTTCTATCTTTAATATGCACATCCAATCTGTCACTAAATCTGATCGTTTTACCTCATAAACATCTCACGTGCACTTTTGTTTATTTTTATTGAGACGGAGTCTCTGTCACCCAGACTGGTGTGCAGTGGTGCGATTTCTGCTCACTGTAACCTCCGCCTCCCACCCCGGGCCGGGTTCAAGTGATTCTCCTGCCTCAGCCTGTGGAATAGCTGGGATTATAGGCGTCTGCCACCATGCCTGGCTTATTTATTTATTTATTGTTGAGATGGAGTCTTGCTGTATTGCCCACGCTGGAGTACAATGGTGCAATCGTGGCTCACTGCAACCTCCATCTTCAGGATTCAAGCAATTCTCCTGCCTCAGCCTCCCAAGTAGCTGGGATCACAGGTGCCCACCACCATGCCCAGCTCATTTTATATTTTTAGTAGAGATGGTTTCACCATGTTGGTCAGTCTGGTCTTGAATTCCTGACCTCAGGTGATCCACCTGCCTCAGCTTCCCAAAGTGCTGGGATTACAGGCATGATAATTTTTGTATTTTTAGTAGAGATGGGGTTTCACCATGCTAGTTAGGCTGGTCTTGAATTCCTGATCTCAGGTCATACCTGATCTCAGTCATTCCTGACTCGGCCCCTCCTAAAGTGCTGGGATTACAGGGTCTTTTTTTTTTTTTTTTTTTTTTGAGACGGAGTTTCGCTCTTGTTACCCAGGCTGGAGTGCAATGGCGCGATCTCGGCTCACTGCAACCTCCGCCTCCTGGGTTCAGGCAATTCTCCTGCCTCAGTCTCCTGAGTAGCTGGGATTACAGGCATGTGCCACCATGCCCAGCTGATTTTTTGTATTTTTAGTAGAGACGGGGTTTCACCATGTTGACCAGGATGGTCTCGAACTCTCGACCTCGTGATCCACCCGCCTCGGCCTCCCAAAGTGCTGGGATTACAGGCTTGAGCCACCGCGCCCAGCTTTTTTTTTTTTTTTTTAAATAAAAGCTCTCAGTTACTGGGTGGGGTAAAAGGTAGATTCTTGAAATCCTAAAGCTACCAGAATACCTGCGAGGCACAGTGCTAAATGCAACTTTTCAGACTTCTACCTGAAAGAGCTCAACTAATGGTCAGAAAATTCTAAGTTAACACATAGAAGTCTATCTTTATGCACTACAAAGGTACTGACATTTTGTAGAAAAAGAACTTATGTGAGGATTTAGCTACCTTTAGATGTTTTATTTATTTTTATTTTTATTTTTATTTTTTTGAGACGAAGTTTCACTCTTGTTACCCAGGCTGGAGTGCAATGGCGTGATCTCGGCTCACCGCAACCTCCGCCTCCTGGGTTCAGGCAATTCTCCTGCCTCAGCCTCCTGAGTAGCTGAGATTACAGGCACACGCCACCATGTCCAGCTAATTTTTTGTATTTTTAGTAGAGACGGGGTTTCACCATGTTGACCAGGATGGTCTCGATCTCTTGACCTCGTGATCCACCCGCCTCGGCCTCCCAAAGTGCTGGGATTACAGGCTTGAGCCACCGCGCCCGGCCTAGATGTTTTATTTTTTATTTTTTTGAGACAGACTTCACTCTGTCACTCAGGCTGGAGTGCAAGGGAGTCATCTTGGCCCACTGCAACCTCCACTTCCTGGATTTTTTTTTTTTTTTTTTTTTTTCACAGGGAGTTTCACTCTTGTTACCCAGGCTGGAGTGCAATGGCGCGATCTTGGCTCACCGCAACCTCCGCCTCCTGGGTTCAGGCAATTCTGCCTCAGCCTCCTGAGTAGCTGGGATTACAGGCACGTGCCACCATGCCCAGCTAATTTTTTTGTATTTTTTTTTTTTTAGTAGAGACGGGGTTTCACCATGTTGACCAGGATGGTCTCGATCTCTTGACCTTGTGATCCACCTGCCTTGGCCTCCAAAGTGCTGGGATTACAGGCTTGAGCCACTGCGCCCGGCCCGCTTCCTGGATTTAAGCGATTCTCCTGCCTCAGCCTCTTGAGTAGCTGGGATTACAGACGTGCACCACCGCACCCAGCTAATTTTTGTATTTTTAGTAGAGACATGGTTTTGCCATGTTGTCCAGGCTGGTCACGAACTCCTGGACTCAAGTGAACCTACTCTTCAGCCTTGCAAAGTGCTGGGATTATAGGTATGAGACACTGTGCCCTGAGTGGTTATGTAAAAACTTTTTTTTTTTTTTTTTGAGACAGTCTTGTCTTGCTGTGTTGCCCAGGCTAGAGTGCAGTGGCATGATCTCAGCTCACTGCAACCTCTACCTCCCAAATAGCTGGGACTACAGGTGTGCACTAACACACAGGGCTAATTTTTTTTGTATTTTAGGAGAGATAAGGTTGTACCATGTTCAGGCTGGTCTCAAACTCCTGAGCTTCAGACAATCTGCACAGCTCCCAAAGTGCTAGGATTATAGGCATAAACTACTGCGCCAGGCCTTTTTTTCCTTTTTTTAATTTTTGTGATAAGGTCTTGCTGTTGCCCCGCCAGAGGTGTGAGCTCACTGTGGCCTCAACATCCCAGGCTTGGTGCAATCCTCCCACCTTGGCCTTCAGAGTACCTGGGACTACAGGTGCATACCACCACACCAGGCTAATTTATATATATATTTGTACTTTTTGTAGAGAGGGACTTGTCATATTGGGCTTAGATTTTTTTTTTTTTTGAGATAGAGTCTCCCTGTGTCACCCAGGCTGGAGTGCAGTGGAGTAATCTCAGCTTACTGCAACCTCTGCCTCTGGGGTTCATATGATTCTCTGGGCTCATATGATTCTCCTGCTGCAGCCTCCCAAGTAGCTGGGACTATAGGTGCCCACCACCACACCTGGCTAATTTTTGTATTTTTAGTAGAGATGGGGTTTCACTATGTTAGCCAGGCTGGTCTTGACCTCCTGACATCGTGATCCGCCTGCCTTGGCCTCCCAAAGTGCTGGGATTACAGGCATGAGCCACCGCACCTGGCCAGGCTTACATCTTTTATAGTCATAGTGTATCCATGTATAGCAAGTTGATACAGTGAATGCTTAAACTTGAGTCATATACACTTTCCAGTTTGCCTGTAACAGTTCAGTTGTCTCAGTTTAGACATTTCAAGTTGCTTCTTTTAGTCTCAAACATGTCCTAGTTTGGATAGTAAGTTATATCATATATAATACAGTCATGCTTTGCTTCAGGATGGGGATATGTTCTGAGAAATGCATGATTTAGCAATTTCATCATTGTACATGCATCATAGGGTGTACTTATACAAACCCAGCTGTTAACAGCCTATTGCTCCTAGGCTACAAACCCTGTATAGCATGTTACCATACTGAATAAACTATAGGCAGTTATAACACAATAACTATTTGTGTATCTGAACTCAGAAATATACAGTACAAGTGTGGTATTGTAGCCTTATGGGACCAGAGAACACCATCATATAGGTAGTCTGTCATCAACTGAACTGTTATGTGGCACATGTCTGTATTTTATGTACATATTATATATAGACACACATATACATGTTACATATAAAGATTACTTGGATAATAAGTTATATATATGATCCTAATTACAAGGATTTTATGATTGTGTGAAAGTGGATATCAACACTATTATGATGCTAGGTAAAACAAGGACTTGAAAGGAAAATTTCTGTAACCTTTTTTTTTTTTTTTTTGAGACGGAGTTTCGCTCTTGTTACCCAGGCTGGAGTGCAATGGCGCGATCTCGGCTCACCGCAACCTCCGCCTCCTGGGCTCAGGCAATTCTCCTGCCTCAGCCTCCTGAGTAGCTGGGATTACAGGCATGTGCCACCATGCCCAGCTAATTTTTTTTGTATTTTTAGTAGAGACTGGGTTTCACCATGTTGACCAGGATGGTCTCGATCTCTTGACCTCGTGATCCACCCGCCTCGGCCTCCCAAAGTGCTGGGATTACAGGCTTGAGCCACTGCGCCCAGCCTGTAACCTTTCTTCAAACTGTATAAAGGCATTAATTTACTTCTGCCTGTCTCACTGGGTGGTCAGGAGAATCAAACTGATACGTAAAGGGGTTTGAAAACATATATGATACACAGAGAAAAAGGATTAGTACCTTAAAAGATCCTGTTTTCTGGAAGAGTTCACATTTGAAGAAAAGATTGCGCCCTGTTACTTGATTCAAAATGGAGCTTGTTAGCACTGGTGTGAGGTGGATAGAATCTCGAATGTTGACATGAGCCTTTTCAACATCAGCAAAGGAGATGCAGTACTGAGCACACATGGTCCTGAAACCCAGAAACAAGAAAGGGGTCAAAGCAAAGTCTTTTTTTTTTTTGAGACAGAGTTTTTCTCTCTTGTTGCCCAGGCTGGAGTGCAATGGCGCGATCTCGGCTCACCACAATCTCTGCCTCCTGGGTTCAGGCAATTCTCCTGCCTCAGCCTCCTGAGTAGCTGGGATTACAGGCACGCACCACCATGCTCAGCTAATTTTTTGTATTTTTAGTAGAGACGGGGTTTCACCATGTTGACCAGGATGATCTCGATCTCTTGACCTTGTCATCCACCCGCCTCGGCCTCCCAAAGTGCTGGGATTACAGGCTTGAGCCACCGCGTCCGGCCAAAGCAAAGTCTTAAGACAATGTTTATTGGAGAGATTTTGAAAATGCCTAACACAGAATAGACCTGGGGGTCTGTGGTGTTAAGTGGAAACTCTCTATTACTGGAGTGCCAGAATTTATTTATAGAAGAGATTTGAATTGAAGCTGAATGAAATTTTTCTGGTGAAGCTTTGAGGGCAGCAACTGATGGTGATTATGGAAGGCTAAAGCCCACGCCCCACCCATACCACCCATCTGCTCTCCACCTTTCTTTTAATCATTGTTGTGAAGCTACTTGAATGAATTGGATTCCATTTTTATATACATTTTTAATTTATAAATTTTAATATTTAATTTTTAATAAAAACAAATTATTTGATAAAGAAAAAATTAGCTAGACTTTTCCATTTAAACAATCATATTCCTTTTCCGCATTCCTTTTGCATTTTTTTCTTTTTTTTGAGATGGAATTTTTCTCTTGTTGCTCAGGCTGGAGTGCCAATGGCGAGATCTTGGTTCACTGCAACCTCCGCCTCCCAGGTTCAAGTGATTCTCCTGCCTCAGCCTCCTGAGTAGCTGGGATTATAGGTATGCACCAGCACGCCTGACTAATTTTGTATTTTTAGTAGAGACAGGGTTTCTCCATGTTGGTCAGGCTGGTCTCCCAACTCTCACCTCAGGTGATCCGCCCACCTTAGCCTCCCAAAGCGCTGGGGTTACAGGCATGAGCCACCGTGACCAGCTCCTTCTGCATTTTCAGTATACATTGTATACATTACATAACAGTTAAAGGAAACGTTTTGTTTATTCCTACATTTGGCTCAGTTTCTTGACAATTTTCACAATTATAATTTTTTTTTGTTTTTAATTTTTAAATTTTTATTTATTTTTTATGTTTTTTTTTTCTTTTTTTTCTTTTTAGAGGTGGGGTTTCACCTTATTGGTCAGGCTGGTCTGAAACTCCTGACCTCATGTGAACTGCCCACTTCAGCCTCCCAAAGTGTTGGGATTACAAGTGTGAGCCACTGTGCCCGGCACAATTATAATTTTCTTTTTTTTTTTTTTTTTGAGACGGAGTTTCGCCCTTGTTACCCAGGCTGGAGTGCAATGGCGCGATCTCGGCTCACCGCAACCTCCGCCTCCTGGGCTCAGGCAATTCTCCTGCCTCAGCCTCCTGAGTAGCTGGGATTACAGGCACGTGCCACCATGCCCAGCTAATTTTTTGTACTTTTAGTAGAGACGGGGTTTCACCATGTTGACCAGGATGGTCTCGATCTCTCGACCTCGTGATCCACCCGCCTCGGCCTCCCAAAGTGCTGGGATTACAGGCTTGAGCCACCGCGCCCGGCTTATAATTTTCAATAACTACATTAACCTTCCACTTTCCACTGTGTTTATTGTAGCAGTTAAATATGAAGTTTCTCTATTTTTCCTTATTAAAAAAGAATCTATGTTCATTAGAAAACCAAGTCAATAGCCAGGTGCAGTGACCCAAGCCTGTAATCCCAGCACTTTAGGAAGCCATGGCAGGCGGGTCATGAGGACAAGAGATGAGACTTTCCTGGCCAACACGGTGAAACCCTGTCTCTACTAAAAATACAAAAATTAGCTGGGCATGGTGATTCGCACCTGTAGTCCCAGCTACTTGGGAGGCTGAGGCAGGTGAATCGCTTGAACCCAGGAGGCAGAGGTTGCAGTGAGCCGAGATCTTGCAACTACACTCCAGCCTGGTGACAGAGCGAGACTCTATCTCAAAAAGAAAGAAGTTAATCTGAAAATACAGAAACACAAGACTAACACAAAAATAGCCACTAAACCTTCCTACCTAAAGACGATTGTTATCTAGTGGTTTACCTTGCCAGGCCCAAATACATATGCAGACAAAACTTTCTGATAAGCTTGGGAACTTGTTTTTGTCAGATAATAATATGAACATCTACTAATCTTATCAATAAGCACTCTTTTTTAAATTTTATTTTTATTTTTATTTTTTTTGAGATGGAGTTTTGCTCTTGTTACCCAGGCTGGAGTGCCATGGCGCGATCTCGGCTCACCACAACCTCCGCCTCCTGGGTTCAGGCAATTCTCCTGCCTCAGCCTCCTGAGTAGCTGGGATTACAGGCACGCGCCACCATGCCCAGCTAATGTTTTGTATTTTTAGTAGAGACGGGGGTTTCACCATGTTGACCAGGATGGTCTCGCTCTCTTGACCTCATGATCCACCCGCCTCAGGCTCCCAAAGTGCTGGGATTATAGGCTTGAGCCACCGCGCCTGGCTATTTTTATTTTTTTTTGAGACAGAGTTTCGCTGTTGTTACCCAGGCTGGAGTGCAATGGCGCAATCTCGGCTCACCACAACCTCTGCCTCCTGGGTTCAGGCAATTCTCCTGCCTCAGCCTCCTGAGTAGCTGGGATTACAGGCATGCACCACCATGCCCAGCTAATTTTTTGTATTTTTAGTAGAGACGGGGTTTCACTATGTTGACCAGGATAGTCTCGATCTTTTGATCCACCCTCCTCGGCCTCCCAAAGTGCTGGGATTACAGGCGTGAGCCATCGCGCCTGGCCCAGTACTCTTTTTTTTTTAAGACAGAGTCCCACTCTGTCACCCAGGCTGGAGTGCAGTGGCATGATAGTGGCTCATTACAACCTCTGCCTCCCAGGTTCAAGCAATTCTCTGCCTCAGCCTCCCAAGTTGCTGGGATTATAGGCGCATACCATCACGCCTGGCTAATTTTTGCATTTTTTGTAGTAGAGACGGGGTTTTACTATCTTGACCAGGCTGATCTTGAACTCCTGACCTCATGATCCACCAGCCTCAGCCTCTTAAAGTGCTGGGATTACAGGTATGAGCCACCTCGCCCAGCCCTTATGTACATTTATCCAACTTCGTTTGAGAGAGTTTTGCTCTGTCACCCAGGCTGGAGTCCAGCGGCACGATCGAGGCTCACTGCAACCTCTGCCTCCTGGGGTTCACACAATTCTCCTGCCTCAGCCTCCAGAGTTGCTAGGATTACAGATGCCTGCCACCACACCCACCTAATTTTTATATTTTTAGTAGAGGTGGGGTTTCACTATGTTAACCAGGCAGGTCTTGAACTCCTAACCTTAGGTGATCCACCCGCCTCGGCCTCCCAAAGTGCTGGTATTACAGGCGTGAGCCACCACTCCCAACCCATTTACCCAACTTTTAAAATGACTTAATAGTACTTCTTTTACAAAAATATGATAATTTAGCTGGGTGCAGTGACACATGCTGGTAGTCCCAGCTACTTGGGAGGCTGAGGCAGGAGGCTTACTTGAGTTCAGGAGTGCATTATGATCGTGCCTATGAATAGCCACTGTACTGTGGCCTGGGATGTAAGCAAGACACTGTCTCTTAAAAAAGAAAAAAAAATCTTAATTTTAATTTTACATAACTCAAATGAACATTTGGCTTTCCTGTTGTTGTTGGCTATAATGATGATGTAATGGATAGCCTCGTTGCAAGGTTTTTGTGTACTTTTGTGAGTCCTTAGGGTAGATTCCACCAAATGGTATTTTGTATCAAAAAGCATGCACACTGCTAAGACATTTGATAACCACTGCCAAATGGGTCCTATCTTACATCAATTTGCACTCCCTACGGCAGTTTCGATGGAATTCATCCTTGCTTTATCATTTTTACGTCAATTTAATTATGTGTGGTAGTTTTAATTGACATTAATTACTAGTGATTGTACATTTTTTTCTGAGACAAGGTCTCACTCTGTTGTTCAGGCTGGCATACAGTGGCTCAATTGTGCTCACTGCAGCCTCAAAATCTTGGGCTCAAGTGATTTTCCCACCTCAGCCTCCCAAGTAGCTGGTACTATGAGTGTGCACCACCATATCTGACTACTTTTTAAAAATTTTATTTTAGTAGAGAGGACATCTTGCTGTGTTGCCCAGGGTGGTCTCAAACCCCTAAGCTCAAGTGATCCTCTTGCGTTGGCCCCCTAAAGTGCTGAGATTACAAGTGTGAGCCACTACACACGGCCTTCTTAATCTTTACACACCATTTACTGACAGTATCATTTTCCTCTGAAATGCTATATTTATCAAAAATTAAATTTCTATCAATGCTTGGGCTATTGTATTTTGTTTCATTGGCCAGACTGCCAATTCTTTTTCCTTTCCTTTTCTTTTTATTTTTTGAGATAGAGTCTCATTCTGTCACCAGACTGGAGTGCAATGGTGCAATCTCGGCTCACTGCAACCTCCACCACCCGGGTTCAAGCGATTCTCCTGCCTCAGCCTCTTAAGTAGCTGGGATTACAGTTGCGTGCCACTGTACCCCGCTAATTTTTGTATTTTTCTTTTAGTAGAGACAGGGTTTCACTATGTTCGCCAGGCTGGTCTTGACTTCCTGACCTTGTGATCCACCCACCTACGCTTCCCAAAGTGCTGGGATTACAGGTGGGAGCCACGACGCCTGGCCTCCTTTTCCTATTACACACTATATTAATAAATTCTCCCTTGATTACTCTTTCTAAAATTCATTGGCTTTTCTCACACATCAATTCTTCCAAGTGAACTTTAGAATTCCTTTATCAAAGTTGCCAGAAATTCTACTGTAAAGATGTATAAATGAATTGGGGGCATTATTTATTTATCGAGACAGGGTCTCACTCTGTCGTCCAGGCTCGAGTGCATTGGCATGATCTCAG